AGACGGGTGCACCGCGCGCGGACGAACGCAAGAAAACACGAACAAAACGCGATATGACACGTCGTGGTGCTCGCCGCGGTGCACTGGCGCGGCGATGGTTCTCCTCGATGTTGCACGGACTTCGCGCTGTGCACCACCGAGAAGCGCTGTGCACTGTCCTCGTTTCAGGGCAGTTTCGGTGCGAGTTAATCGAAGAGGCTATGAGATACGACCGGAAGTACTCCGCCCCACTGGATGATGCACAGATGCTCCCCGAGCCTGGTGCAAGTGAAGCCACCGGAAGTCCGACGCTTGTCCCGGAAGCCGCGCGTCTGCTGCGCTTCCTATAGTGCATTCAGCCGATGTTTTGGTCGATGCTTTCTTGTGTCTTTGAACGGGTTCAAATAATCTCGTTTTGAATTAAATCACGAGAATAAGCGTTTGAACGCGTCCCACGTTCAAATGCCTTATTCTCGTGATGCACTTTTGACGCTGTCTTTTTGGTCACAGTTTTGATACGAAAATCGAGTTGGCGATTCAAAAGACTGGAGGCAGGCTGAAGGGACAGGGAGGGGCCTCTGGCGGGAGTTTCTCAACTGAGCAGATCTATGCGGAGAGAAAGTCGTCTGCATCTTGCCTAGAGTTATTACAATAAACGCTAGAGGCTCAGCTGGCGCTAGTGTGCTGTTGCATTTTGAAGCAGACAGCAAGCAGTCTAAATTTGACTTCCGGTAATGCATTCCTATGGGAAAATGCAAAGGTGTTTTCTCTGCGCGCTAGATTATAAAAGCAAATATTGCTAGTGTTGGGACAGAGTAAAAAGTTTGGAACGTTTTACAATCGGATGTATAAAAAATATGTGTCAGATGGAGCGTCTCTCTTTAGAACTCATGGCGTCGAACACTGCGCTAAAGTAGCCCAATACACATGTATAATACATGTTGACGCTTCAGACTGCTATTATAGGGCACGCATTTACGCATATAGTTAATGCTATGAAGCACACAAGGTGAATCAGCTTGACAAAACACCAAAAGAATGCTAATATATGCCAAATCAAACCATCCAGACAGACGACAAGAACGAAGCATATAGTTATGGAACGAAGAACACGTACTGAATCAGTAACTAACTGTGCATGAATAATCATTGATAGCTTGTATTGATTGCTTGTATTCATTGACTGACAGCTTTTATTGACATTTGGTAGCTTGTATTGACATATCAGGTTGTACAACATACACCCGGGACTCAATTGTTGCTAATTTAATCATCGCTCAATAAAAAAAAAAAAAATCATTAACTAAATAAATTACACATTCATAATGTGAATAAAGCTACACAGTACCCGTGACGAGTAAAGAAACTGCGCTGATTTCTATAATTCCCTGGCAAAGAAAAAAATACCACCTACGTTTTTCCCATAGGAATAGACAAGAAGGCTGAAAAAGTAAACGGTTTGCTGTCTGCTTCAATTTGCAACCGGAAGTCCCATAGACAATAGCGCCAGCTGAGCCTCTAGCGTTTATTGTAATAACTTTATGGCTTCTTGCACAGGAGTTGCGGTGACGTCATAACGACGCCGTGTTCTGATTGGCTTTGATTGGAAGGATAATGAATAGACCTCGATGTTAGATGCCTCGAGGTCCACCCACAATTTTTTCTTTCGATCAGCCAATAAGAGCTGGCCGTTCTGACATCATCGCAACCCCTGTGCCAGAAGCAGACGAACTTGCACTCCGCATAGCCGTCAGCGTGTCTTGCAGCGTCTCACTACGCGGACGCCGCAAAACGGGAGTCACGGCGACGCCACACGCGCGCGTCTCACGCTTTGTTGCGTGTTTTTGTCGAGCTCTAGCCTGTTTGTCGCTTGGGGCGAGTCGGGAATCCAGTAACGATGACGTCATGCTCGGGCCTCGTCTCCTAGTTGATATGCGTAGGGCAAGTCTGTCTGTTTCTTGCGCGCCGAGCTTTTATTGACTGATTGAAAAAAAAGTTGGTAGACCTCAAGGCATCTAGAATAAAGGTGTACCCACTTTCAATCACAGCCAGTCAATCAAAGCCAAGAACGCCAGGCAAAGGAAGCCTTTTTTTCCACTGAACTCGTCGAACGCGTTAAAACGTGGAACGCAGGCGTCTGGCGTTTCTCTTTCGCATTCGAACGCGTTCGACGAGTGCAGCGGAAAGGCAGCTAGCTTCAGGTCTACCCACTAATCATTCCAATCAGAGCTCGGCATTCTAACGTTCCTGCGAGCTCTCGCCTCCTCTCTCTCTCACTTTTTTGGCGCATACTTCGTCTCATCTTAGCATGGAAATGGTTAGCCGCGCAAGCTAAAAGGGCTATTAGCGCCGAGATGTTTCGGTGGCGCCCTCTTATGGTTTCCCTCCGTGACGTCACGACTACGATTTGCCTTGCCGTGACGTCACCAGTTGTTATTCTGGCTACTTACCATCGGGTGCGACGACGAGGTCGAAGGTGTGTTTAAAAAGCACAATAGAATCTAGGAGCTATCGCAATCCGAAACTAATACCGTCAAAGTTGACTATCTGAGAGTGCTCATATGCCCGTGGTTTGGCCAATCGTGGAAAGCTGACCACAGCGACGCTTTTGGCCGCGCACATCGCTAACAGTTGCTTTGGATGAAGCTTCGGCGGCTGCACGAGCGCTCGTGCAGCGAGTGCTTTAGTCAAGGCAGTCAAGGCTAGCCGCTCGCTCTTGCACAACCTTAGCAGTTATTCCGTGCTAAGGCGAGATGAAATATAAGTAGAAAACATGGAATGCTTACCGCCTTTAATTCTCTCAAATTAGTTTTGTCAAAAGTTCAGTTGGTAGCACGGTTTAACTCTCGAGGAAACGATCGCCGTCAATCGAATCCGATTTGGCGGACATTTTGGCTTTGTTATAACATCCACGGCGGCGGCGGCTGGATGCGACCATTTGGTTGATAACTCTACCGGGGGTTTTCGCCAACGTTACTATGCTGAGTGCAAGCTCGTCCACTTCTTGCGATGACGTCTGAACGCTAGTTCCTTATTGGTTCTGATCGGAAGAATAGTGGATAGACATTAATGCCAACTTCCCTGAGATCTACCCACTATCCTTCCAATCGAGCCAATATGAGCTCGGCGTTCTGACGTCACCGCAGTCCCCTGTCCAAGAAGCAGACGAACTTTCGTTCCGTATACACCTTTCCAAAAACCGCTCCTAGGCCGCCGCCATGTTGCTGATGCTGATGCGGTTGGTGCGACTCTCGCGCCCTCTATCAGCTAGAAATTTTCTGCCACTCTCTGGGACTGTGAAGACACGCCCAGCGCGGTTCTCTACCTACGTTTTTGCGGTTTTGCATTCGACGTTTTCTCGCCCCTCTTGAAAGTTTCCACTTAATTTTTTTTATGCGTGCTGTGTACCCTTTTTGTGTTATCTTCCACTGTGAGAAATAAGGCTGGTAAGTGCCTGCCATTCAAGCTTTTCTGCTCGACATTCACGGGAAACGAAAGACGTGAGGGACGTCGAACGACCCTCGACGCTATTTTGCGAACATTGTTCTCCCCCCTCCCAGAGATAATCCGCGTAAAATCCTCAGCCATCTCCAAAAACAGTTGTTCGGGTTGGGGTGAGAAACGGGTCAGTCACGTTTGTTTCTTTGCCTTGGTGCGGTTGTGAAACAAGGAAGCTCTCCCCAAGACGTGCCCCAAAACGAAGTCATCCCGGATTCCGTCCGATCGTCAAGATGTGACTGTCGTCGACTCTGACTGTGTTATTTGAGATCTTTCTCAAATAAATTCGTTTCGGATAACGCTGCATCGTGTGGTACGTATGAGTGTTAACACTTCCTCAATTTCATTTCATTTCATTTCATTTATTGGTACCCACAGGGCCCGAAGGCATTACAGAGGGGGGTGGGATTATTACGTACAAGTTAATGGAACACTCAAATCACAATCAACTTCTAGTAGTATTGATACAGCTTTTTTAAAATCAACAGGATTAACAATTGTGGCGATGGATGTGGAAAGGTGATTCCAGTCAGCAGACGTACGAGGTATGAATGATCTGTAGTAGGTATTAGTGTGGCACTGTGGAATTTCGACTTTATGTATGTGATCATTGCGTGATGATATGTAGGATGGCTCCAGTAGGAGTTCAGTCTTAAGTATAGGGTTGTGAAAAAATATTTTCTGAAATAAACTTAATCGATAAAACTTTCGGCGTAAAGAAAGAGCTGGCAAGGATAGGCATTTTTTCATAGAGGTTACGCTTGATGTACGATGGTAATTAGAGTGAATGAATTGTATGTCCGTGGCCTGTCCATCGGTAAACACGTTATTTGTGAGAGTGAAAAATGCATGCCTTTCGGCCCTCTTCTGTTGCAATTTATTTTTGACAGCAAAGCCCTTTGTCGTTTCACATGCGGCGAATCCCGCGGTGCCGTCTAAACTTATCGCAAGAAAAAAACAAATAACTAGAACTATTCATTCCAGTCGCATTCGTTCTGTCGCGCGTGTACCCAACAAAAATAGATTAGATTTTTTTTTTTTTTTTACTTTTTTTTGTTTTTTTAAATGTGGCACAATGCTTTCTCAATGTCCTCGGGAACATACATGTACCATGAAACACAAAATATAGAGGGAAAAGACGAGAATTTAGCCGCCAGCCGCGTTTGAAACTGCACCTACGCAGGCTGCGCCTATTGAAATCACAGTCCACTCGGTTAGGGTTAGGAGGGACGCCGGTGAGAGTCTAGCCTCAAGCTCAGTGACTGGGCTCACAAACGGTTTGTTGCCCCTGGGGTAGAGTGTTTTTTGGAAAGGTGTATAGTCACTGAGGGCATAAGAAGCGTAAGGCGGGGGGTCGGGGGGGTTGCTTATTATGTTCACGATTGTTGCTTCGCGATTCGTTCTTCGGCATTCTTATCGGCGCCGCAATCTCACTGGCTGTGGAGCGAAAATGAGATGCTCGGCCACGCCCTTCTTTTCTTAAACTGCCATTGACAATGGGAAGCTTGACATGTAATAATGAACTAGTAACGTTGACCGCGAACGCGTGAAACACCGTAGGCAGCGAGTAAGCAGCCACTCACAATCAGGAACGTGCATCCCAAAAGCACCGCCTTGAACTTGACGTCCAAGTCGATGGGGAACACCACGGTAAAGTTGTCCACGTCCGTGAGCATTTCCTTGAAGATGCCGGTCCAATTTTTTGTGATCATGCCGACCTTGTGCTTTTCGTCGGGAGTAAAAATCTGCGAGGTTTACGAAATACGCGTGTACAGGCTAAAGGTTATGCAATCGTTTCAGCGTCGACAATTTCTTGCATTTTATTCAACGGACAGATTCATAAAGTTTAATTTTGGGGTTGCAGTAAGCCGCACAAGTGCTGCGCTGTGCCGCCATGGTCTTCTTCCCAAGGGCTGCACGTCGTACGTGTCTCTTGCACCGACGCACCTTACGCTACTTTTAAAACATGAAGGGACTTTAGTGGGGACAACGCCCAGAATGCGATCCAATTCCCGCTGTGACAATCCCGTTGTGACGATATTACACTGCTGCTCACACAGTGGACACGAAGTCTGCGTAGGCTTGATTTTGGCTCGTGACAATCAATGCCTCGACATGCACTCAGATAGGAGCTCGTGCACAATCGCTGGGATGCAGGGGAACAGCCGTACCTATACACTGTACCTTAACAATGCGTGGAACTCAGCGCGCACCCTGTGCTTTGCCAACACAAACGCGTGGCTATGTTAAAAACATTGGCGGTGTATAATAGGCTCCAGATCACGTGACCGCTCTTTCTGGCTATGAATGGTAAGCGGTGTTCGTTTTTCTCGAATTTTTTCCTGCGACCGCCATTGCGTCGAAAAAAAATGCGACGTGTGTTTCATGGGTCATAAATGTCAAGGAATAATTCTAAGCTGTATTTATTGAAAGTAGAAAAATTGTTGCATCGCCTCTTTCGTCTATGCGCCGTGCGTGTTCGTCTGCTCCTTGCGCACCTCGCGGGTTTGGCTCGGACGTTACGCCTCTGCGGTGGCGCTGTTGTTGCCACGGCGCATGCGCAGAAGCTCCACTTCACGCCAATCTGGTCTCTGTACTCGCACAGTGCCCACACCTGGTGTGGGCGAATTAAATGCAGGCTTGTTTGGAAACAGTTTGTTGGTCTATATATGAACCGCCGCGTGGCCATTGTTTCCCCCGAACCTCGCCCAACGACGGCTCCTACTTGGCTGCTTCGTCATCGCTCGCTTCCTGCGCGTTCTCTACGTTGCCCTGTGAGCTAAGCATGCCCCTGCTTGCGTTGTGATGCACCAAAGCCGTATCTTAGAACACATGCTCGGCGTATACAGAAAGAAACTGAGGGCGAGGAAGAGATGAGACTGATCGGTCAAGTCGGAGCGCCAAGCTCTCATTGGACGGAAAGTGGGCAGACGCAAAGGCTAATTTAATTTTTCTGTTTCTGTCTGCTTTTACGGTGCTTCTGCGCATTCTTACGAGAAAACGCGCTGTGACAAAAATAAACTGATTCTGATTCTGATTCTTCGCCGGAGAATAACAGGAGCCACATTTGTTACTTGGGTCTTAGCGAATAATAGGTAACATTATTGACATTATAAAAGTGTAATTGCTTTAGTCAGTTTTTAGCTGTTTTTTATTAGTGAACGATGTTAAACTTCACTATGTTTATGGCCGAAAACTTTGTTCTATAGCAGGTGTGTAAAAAAAGCGACTATTCTAAGCAAAAGAACAATTGAAATGAAGGTAGCATGTGTTCAAGATTCTCGAGCAAGCCAGTGTCGCTTATATATTTCTTACATGACAGTCCTGTCACTCCTCTTCTTTATTGCAAATCGGGCTATATTATTTGGCCGTCACGTTATCTTCATCGACTACATGCACATGCACATACGCATCGACTACATGCACATGCACATGCACATCGACTACATGCACTGATTCAGTGCGACACTGTGTAGTTCTTGCCGTCTCCCTCGGTTATCCAGATATCCTTCATTCGTTTGGCACCTAAATCCGCCATGAGGAGAAGCGCCGACATCGTGTTAGAGCTAATAGTGTCCGACAGTGCATATAAATACACGCATGAAGCTGTTTTATCACTGTGTTCAAAGTTCGAAAGAAAAGCGCTGTAACCGACCAATATTTTCATTTACGCGATTGAGAAACGTTCCAAGCTATTTACTACATTATAATTATTCGTGATATTTGTTCTTATAAGCAAGCGCACAGTAAAAATGCACCCGCTCCCCCAAATGCATTACCGGAAGGCAATTTTCGGCTGGTCGCTGTCTGCTTCAGTATGCAACAGACTGCGCCAGCTGAAGATTTAGCGATTACATTATAATAACTTTATGGTACTAGCTCACCCAATTGGTCCTGGCAACACTTGTGGCGCCCTCATTTCGGGTAGTACAAGCTCACCTGATTAGGCACCAGAGGCGCTTCGAACGACTTCATTATTGAGAATTTTGTTAGTTTCTTGTGCTGATCGAATTGAAAACAGATTTTCATGTCCGAGGTCGACTAAATCCGACGCCGTGAAACAATCGAAATTGAGAGATTCGTATTCATACAGCTAGTATACGTGTTTCTTATTCTGGGTGGTCTGAGTGGTGCACGTCAGACCACCTAAATTCGCAGCTTTTTTTTTTTTCACTTTGAAACGTTAGAAACGGCTTCTCCTGGATCGTGCGCTTAGCGTCCTAGCCTTGACCTGCGTTAAGCTATGGTTTCAATTTTTGCTTTCTTTTTTGTATATTTCCCGTGGTCATGTGCGGCGCCAAGCTATCACGCGTGACAGTTTGAGGAGCGCAAGTTTTTACTACCCATTACCGATGAAAAGTTCGCTTTTCGCAGCGTCCCCTGGTCAATGCAGGTCTATTCATGTGTCTAAATTGATTGTCCTCAACTCTTGGACGACGCCACCGATTGTGAAAGGATTGTGCACGCACATTGAAGACGACGTCGCCGAAGCAGCTGGAAGTAATGAAAGGGCCCTTCACGAGCAGGACAAGCTTTCTGTTGGCGTCCAGGATGGAGAAGTTCGGGAAGATGATAGAAAAGTTTTGCTTGACGTAGCCCACCACGTTACCAGGAGGTGCCTGGACCGACATATCCTGGACGCGAAAGGGGAAACGCATGCATATTGAGGACACGAGCGTGTGTACACGCCCTCGGAAAAACAACGTACTTACACAATACGGTCTATGACGGTGTGTGCCTAGAAGGTGTACAGCATGTAGCTAGGATTGCACCCCTAACATCTTCCTGAGATGATCCTTGGAACCGGTTTAAAGAAATTCGCAGCAGACATCCTATAGATGTCCTTGGGCTACTGACTATGTAACATCCTGCTAGGGACATCCTATCGAAAGGGAGTTCATGATGACAAAAGGGAGATAGCCGCTCTGTTTCCAGATGAAGAGAAGTTGCATGTAGGGTAACTGTAGGATACTGCTAAAGGGATAATAGCATGTAAGTGGTAAATTTTCTATAGGTGCTCATAGGAAGAACCTAGGAGGACCACAGCCGAAATTTCTAACATTTAACTCATGTAGTATAGAAATTGTAAAAAAGAAGGAAGGTGCTTGGAGTAACTATTTAATTTATTTAGGATTACGTAGTTCAAATGTTTGCCAAGAAGCCATCAAATGTGGTAAGCAAAATATATAAATACAAAATAACATTGCCTCCCCCTTGTACTACTTCTTTATAACTCTTTGTTTTATTCTTCCTTTAACTATTGTTTTTTGGTATGGGGAAGTACCGCTTTTATCAATATTTATGGCCTTCGTGTATTACAGATAAGAGTTGTTCGGGTTCTGGGCAATCAAATTTGGTACGACAGCCACGCGGCACCATTATTCAAAGAGCTAGATATATTTCCAATAATAAGCTTCTAAGATTACAAACTTTCCATGTCATACAAAACAGCCTCGGGCAATCCAGGCAGAGATCTCCCCTATCTTTCTTTACTTAAGTTAAAAAGTACATCCTATGCCATGCGTCATACCGCCGACTGGACGGTCCCACGCTCCAGGACCAACTGTGGCAAATATGCTACAGTATTAGCTAACATAAATGTTGAATTATTTATTTTGATTGAATAGTATGGGCTCGAAAGCGTTTCCAGAATATATATATGTGCTCTCTACGCGTGCCGTCAAATTAATTTTTAGTGAACTAACTGTGTTCACGAGTCATTATGTCATTTTCCCCCGTTTCTGGATTTTTTCTTTTAATCTTTGGTGATCAGATTATGTTTGCGGACGATTTTTTATAAGTCTTTAGTGATCTGATTGTTTGCATATGATTTTGTTATTTGTTTTATTAATGTTTTAGCTACTGTTGCTGTTGCGGGGGGAGGAGCCTTGTGAAACAGTCTTTGTACTGTTTTTTCTTTCCCCCTTCTTTTTTCTGTTTGAATAGGAAACAATAAACTATTAACATATAATATAAACTTTATAGGAAGTTGCTGCAATTGCTACAAGAGTACTAGAATGTCCACGGCCAATTTTCTATAGTGGGCTTATAGGAAGAGGACGACCACAGCTGAGATTAAATATAATGTTGCGTCAAGAGTAGTGGAATGTCCGCGGCCAATTTTTTATAGACGCTTTGCAGCAGCTGTGCATGGGCGCCGCCATAACTGACCTTCAGTTTTTGTTCCCTCTTATTCCGTTCGCTTCACTTCATCATTACCACAGCAGGACAGGTTATTGCCATTTTAGATGCTACTGTGTTCTTGTGCCCAGCATAGGCCCTTGTGAAGACCCGTCAACGCCCGCTTCAGTAGCTCGGCATCTCGGTAAGACAAGAGAAGGGCGGCTATGGCGGCTCAATCTGGCGCGTGTGTAAAGCGTCTATAGGTGGCTCCATGGTCCCATTTGTGTCTCGGGGCCCCCGACCCACCAGCGTGAGAAACACCAATTTGTGTCCGTCGACAGAATCCAACAAGCTTTTGGTAGGCCAAAGCAACGTATGACGCGCGGTACCGCACGTTCACAAATATGCCTTTGTGACTGCTGAGTGACTCGTTACAAAGGAGTTGGCAAAAGACGTATCTGGTGTGTGCGCAAGCATGCATGCAGTGTTCGATGTTAGTGGCTCTAAAGGCTTCGCTTCGTTACAGAGACATACATTAAGAAAGCTCGAGGACATAACAAATACGCCTTGTTTAGTTTGATTTGTGTGTGTTTTTTACCGTTCGAGCGACACCGACTGACTATCAAAGAGCATGCCTATGGAGGGAATTGCAGAAAATTACACTGGAATGCCAGAAAGTCGACTTACATTTGTCGGCAAACAAAAAAGTGGTGTTGGTAGCAGGACTTGGACCCTCGCACGCCAACAAAAATCGTTCTATGTCCGCCAACCAAGCTATACATCAAACATTTCGCACTCTGAGGCATGTTTTTCTTAGTACTGAATCATTTCTTGAGTATGTTATTTGATCGCCAGGGGCGACGCTCGAGCGTAAACAAAAGTTTGCCAACTATCTGTACATTTTGCGTATCCGCGAACAGAGGACCACGAGCTTCCCGCTAGCCACCATGCACAAGGCGTCACCTAAATAAGGCTAACGGACACCTGCGCTGCCTCAGCATTTGGCTCGTATTCATGTTCTGAAACAATTGAACTCGATTCCCAACCGGATGCTGACTCAAAAGTCTTGTCCTATTTGTGCCCAGCGTTGCCCTTTTTCCAGTGACGCGGAAAACGCAGCACCACGGTTTTATTATCTGCGAGGTATTGCACCAATAGCCTCGAATCCCTGCTGACCTGCAGGCAGCAGAAGCAGATGCCAGAGCTGCATCGAAGCGGTCTGAACAGGCGTATCACTTCCCGAGAGGTGTGGTCGAGAAGCCGGAGCTCGAAGGGTCGGTTCTGTCCGCACAAGCAGCGAACGATGCAGTCGCTTTCTACGTACAAAAAAAAAAATGGAAGGATAGTGGGTAGACCTCAACGCTATTTGCCTTACGGTCTAACCACTCTTTTTTTAGCAGCCAATAAGAGTTTAGCGTTTCGACATCATCGCAACCCCTGCAAAAGCAGCAGACGAACTTTAGGGAGCCATCAATGCGTTTTTCAATATAGCGAGGGTTCGACATACTAAAACTCTAGACGGAGGCAAGAAAGGACGTAAAGCCAACCGCCTCAAACACAGCTATTGAATGTTGTTCACCAAACTTTATTTATACAGTCATCTTCACCCTAGAGCCCTATAATCGTCTTCGATACGATCGATCTGGTCTGCTCAAGCTCAATCGGTCGAACTCCACCCTCATGGGTTCAGTCGGCGGTGAGAATATTACCTTAGAGCAGGTCGACAGGTTGAAGTTTAGCAGACGATTTGGAGAGTGTGCAAAATGGTGAAAGGGCGCTAGGGAAGAGGTGACTATAAAGGAAATGTGGTGAATAAAGTAAGTAGCTGTGTTCAAAACGTTTTGGTTGTCCTCTTTTTAAAGCGATAACTTCACGGGTGACACTTTGTAGAGGTTTCGGTGTCGCCGTTTGTTGTCTGTCGTCGCAGCCGAGATAAAAAAAAAGAAAAAAAAAACTTTTTCTCTTTTTTTATGGCGCAAGGAGAGAAGAGCCGGCTGTTCCTATTCCCATTGCCCGCGCGGTGCGAAGAGGGAAGAGAACAGAGCCCGACGACCGCGCCAATGACGGCACAATGACGAGGAAGCGTCAGCGGAGCGTCTTCCCCTGTCGTCTGCTAACGATATCTTCAAAACAAGGCCGGCTTGCTAAAAACGTGTGTCAACTGAGACTGGGTCAAAGAAAGCACTGCCAAAGCCAGCGCACGAGCTGAGCGGGACTTAAACCGCGTCTCAAGGCACTCCTTAGAATAGATGCTTGGGCGAGTTGGATATACTTTAGCGCTTCTTCTGCAACATCAAGGCACTCGTTCGCCCCAGCATTTTCTGTTCTTTCTTTCACCCACTCTCGGCTGAGACGCTGTTCTAGCAAGCCAGCCCAGGTGCTTACAAACACTACTCGCATTATACTGTGTTGCCACGCGTGTCGAACACAGTTGCTACGCGTAATGTTGGAGGGTCTCACAAGCTTCCTCCGCGTTCGATTTCACTACATTATCTCTACTTCTCGGACCCGACTCGAAAAGTATGTCTTGCCAAAACTCGTCACATCGCACCCACATTCTCTGTGGAGCTTCGCCTCGTTTCTCTGCATCCGTACACCTCTCCGCTCATCGCTCATTGTCAACATTACTACTCTCTTCACCGCTCAACAGCACCGGGAAAACCTGTTCTTTCGCTTGCGTCGCCACTGCCGCAGACTCTTCATAATGGCGCCGCCGCGCCAAGGCCGTACTCCGTCCCAGGAGCGAGCGCGGAGGAAACGGCTGGCTTCCGCGGCTCGCGACCGGCGTCGCTCCCACACTGACCACCAACGAAAGGCTGGTGTCCAGTTTGCCCGCCTACTTTATTCAGCATCCGGTGGCTCGACTTGCCCACTTACCTTACCGATCACGCGTGCACTCCTAGCAGTCGTCAGTGGCTTCCATGACGCCATCCACGGCAATGTGCATTAATTAATCAATTCGCACCTCCGTCCTCCAGTACATGACGACACCATTTTGCCCGCATTACGCGAACATGCTACACCTATCGCTTTTATTTTTATTCACATTCTTGGCAAAAAAACCTCCCCATTTGGCCTCCGTCTAGGGTTTTAGTACATCAAATAACAACTAGCTCGCCTGTCATAGTAAAGGCCTGTTCACACTCTTGCGACCGAGTAAGACCGAGAGAGACCAGACCGGTTTTAAGCCTCTTGCAACTTCTTAGGACCAGCTTCGCTGCAACGCATCCGGTCCTAAGACGTCGCAAAATGCTTAAAAACCGGTCTGGTCTCTCTCGGTCGTACTCGGTCGCATATATATGAACGGCGCTTAAGGTTGTCTTCAAACGGCAAGGGTTGTTTTTGTTACCAATGATGCGCTAATCCTTGAGCCCATAAAGGAGCCGAGAATATTGGCGCCTGAACGTGCCGAGCTGAGTTGTTTACCATATATGTACTTTAGTCGTCGGTTTGGTTAAAGGTCAATTCAATATGCGGAAGGAGCGTTACCTTCGACTCCGAAGAAGATGAACTGCCCCATCGTATTCTTCACCACGTATTTGTTGGCTTGCTCGTACCCCACCAGCACTGCATCGGACAGTGAAAAGTTGATTTTGGTTGCCGCTTGCAGCGCCCGTTATCATCCGGCGCCAGTCAAGAAGTTTTGTTATTTAAAATATAACGATGAACGCACTAATTCTAACATGTTGATAATTTTTTTTATATGAAGTTCACGAATACTACTTCACATCCCCCTACCCAAACCCCCGACAGAAACCCCCTTTGAATTCTCCGACCATCACTGACTTCAGTCTAACAGATATGTTTACCAATGAGGAGCAATCTGTTACGTTTAGATTTTTGAAAAAAAAAAAAGTTTCCCACGATCTAGAAAGACAAAAGGAAGACCCGCTAGCAGCCACTATGAGGCAGTTGAATCCAGCTTCAAAGCGTCTAACGTTCCAGAGCCATTCCCTCCTTCCCCGCCAGCTGAGGTGTGCACCCTTTCAATGGACCTTTTGGCGAATATGTGCTGCCACCTATGGGGCGATGGACGAACCTGAGGCGCACTGGGTTGGAGAGTATTTGTAGAGAAAACAACGTCCACGTTAGGCTTCTTGTGTGCTACCGGTTCGTTTTCTTTTTGTTGCTCTTAGTTTTCTTTCGCTGCTCGCATTTATACATCAGCCAAACTGGCCGATGTATAAATGATAGAGCAAGGGAGCACGCAGCCTCGGTGAGAAGAACATCAGCAGGACATTTGTCAGCTCATTGCCGGACCTGTGGATGCGATGCCGAGCTCACCAGCATAACCGTCCTTCATAGGAACAAGAACTCCTTCGCGCGGGAAGTGCTGGAGGCCTTGGCCATCGAAGAAAAAGGAGAAGATTGCGGTCTGCCACACTCCGTTTAATACTAGGCTAAAAGGTTTTTATAAGTGTTGATTCTGCCGTTAGACGAAGAAAAAGAAAGAAAAAAAGGGCCTAGGCCGGGAAGAAGACAAAGTAAAATTCAGTTGATTGTCGGCGTTGTCTTTGTCCAGTTCTTTCCTTCGTGTCCTTGTTTTTTTGTGTTCAGCTGACCTGATTGCCAACAAAAGGTTCTGATGATCTGGAGGACCAGCGTTGAAACCAACCGAGGGCTGACGGCCGTGGACGCGAGTAGCTAAACAGTGTAGGAACATAGTCCGGGTGTGCCTTGTCTAACGCCGGCTGTGATCATCGCCGCACTTCGCATAGCTCTATCGCTTGCAACAATTACAAGTCAACTTACCTGTAATAAAATGGGCGCAACATAGTCTGGACAGCTGACTCGGCTCCCAGTTCTTCGAGAGGTCGGACTTGTCAACTCTCCTGACGGCACGAATCCAGGCTGCTCGCTTAACGGGATGAAGCTTAGCACACGGGAAGCGAAAAACGCTAATTCCACAACCCGGGCGATAATAGTTCCGTCTGCCGAAGGCTACACAGTTCACCGGCATGATTGCGGTGCACGTCGTAATCTAGAACGGGCGTCGTCAGTACGATGACTCGTGTTCACCTTGTTCGCAACATCACAACTTGAGTCTCGATGGTCTCCAAGGCGCGCAAAGGCGAGAAAAGCAAGATGGCGGATTGTTTAGAACTAGATACTCTCGAACCCAGGCGCATCAAATACTCCGCGCATGCGCACCGCGTATTTCTACAAAAGGTCCATTGTACGGAAAAGCGTTCCAAGAAACGACGCTCCTGGAACGGATTCCTTTTAGGAGGAACGGAAGAACGCCACCGTCCCATCTTGCGCCAGTGGAACTGGATCGGGAGCTTGTTACGTTTTCGAAAAAAACAAAAGAAAGAACTGCGTCCTATTTTTAAAACAATGCATATCTGCAATTTTACCCGAATTTAGTAAAGATGTAGGCTTTTTTTTTTTACTTTCAACTGTTTCAATCTCCGACTTCAAGGGATGGAAAAGTGTCCGAGAGGTAGTCAAAAACAAAGAACTGGAACGAATGTGATCCTGACGACACGACACGTATAGTTCGATGTGAATATTTTCACTCGCTCGCTTTATTTTATCTATGGATTATCCAGCACAATATTTCATCAAGTTACTCAGACGTAACGTTGCTTTAAGGGCAAGTTCCAATCTTTAAAAAAATGTAACGAGAATGTGTTTCTTTCGAATTCCCCTGGAACTGGAAAGGGGACTTTTTCCAAGTTCGAGAATGGACGAGTGACGAGCTACCGTTCTTGTTTTGCAGGGACGTGTGCTACACTACTCTCAAGTGCCTGAACGCATCGAACTCGAGCACTGTATTGTGAGTATTGTACACGTCACAAAAAACGAGTGATCGATTACAATTGCAATTACTCTTGGTTAAAACGTATTCAATTAGAGTTCCTGATGACTGACAGGACAATACATTGTCCGTTACTTGAAGAATAACTGCTACTTTTAAGAATACTTCAGATATCAAGAAAGAAAAAAAATATGTAACTGCCAGTTTTAAAATGGGCCTTTCGTACAGTCTTATTAGTTAGAATCGCCAAATTACAAGCTACTCATCCTCTCAATTCTAATTTTGGTAGACCATGCCTTCTCCTATGCGAGACTTGGTTCGAGGTTTCCTTAGTAGGGAACTTGTAGAAACAAAGGACGCCATTAGGAAGGGGAAGAAAATAAATGGTATTGTTAACAAGTAATAGACCCTTTCGAGAATACAGTGCCATCTGGTGACTCAGATGGCAGCTTAACTTTTACTATACTAATGGCGGCAATGAACCTGTGGTCTGCAGTATTTGATGGGGCACCGTCACTTTCGCAAGTCAACGGTAAATGAGAATGCGTGCCTTCACTCTACAGGTCTTTTAAAATCTCTTTCAGTGTTGATGACGAAAAAGATGCAACCAGTCAGAACAAAGCGCCCGCCCACATAGACGCAGTGATAAAATTTTATACACCAGGGGACTTTGAAGCCGAGTGTGTGCTACTAACAGATTGACTGGGCCCGAGTTAAATATGAACGCTTACGCAGTTCTTGCATCCAATTCCGGATTCACGTCGCGCTAACGTCTAGAATGTCTAGGCCTCGAATCATCTGCTTAGGAGCATCTTCAACTGCTTCCTTCATCAGTAAACAGAAGGCCGCCATTAGTATAGCACATATGACATTTTTCAGATGATGATAGTGATCAAAGTGGCCAGACTGAATTCCGGAAAGGGTCTATTTGAATACTTCCAAAGGAAATCAAATAACTCTCATAATTTCCTACTAATAAAAGCAGTCAGATTACTACAAAATTATTCCAAACAAGTAATTGATTACGAGTAATTGCATTACTACTAATGAGTACCTGAAGTTTATACTGAGTACCGCAAGATTCTAATCAGTACCACAAGTTTGCTTGTAGTAAGCACACAGGGACATCCGAAAATGCGTAACAAGAGACCTTCAAACGAGTTGGACGAATCATCCTGAATGGGACCAGGTGTTGTTCATTCACGTGAACGCTGATCCATTCAAATCAAATGATTACCTTTTAGCAGGTCCTATCAGAAGTGCGACATAAAAGCACTATACCTGACAATGTACTGGAGACCTGAGTTCATCTCTGTTCATAATATCTAAATGTATAAAAAATATCGCGACTGGGTTTTTCACTCTTTTATCTGCATTATTCCTAGTTGTACCAGTTTATTTGGTTTGATTGCGGTTTTAAATTTTTGCGTTTTTTTCTTCTTCTTTTTGCATAATGTACCTTACTTTAGGGGTCATAAAACGATATTCATGACTTTGCAGAGGCGTACTGGTCCTAGTCTGGTGCAAGTATACGTGCACAGATCGCCACTGATTCTGAGAAGCTTCTTTGTCGAGGTGAAATTGCGAGGATAAAAAGGGACTCTTTATTTCAGCCTTGCCTTCGCAAAGCTTGATGACGTAATTGTGGTACCGAAACCACCCGCCTGACGACAGTCGAATGCGGCTCGTGGATTGGACACGAGAACTGCGTGAGCACTCGACTCCGGCTCGGAACAACCAATACCTCGGTGGACACACGGGGGGGGGGGGGGGGGGGGGGGGGGTAGGGAGGGGGCTGGCTGGCTCGCGTCCAACCACTGCGGTGATGAGAGTAGCCGAACTCTAACAATGCCTGGAGCTCAGAAGCTCCAGGCATTAAAAATATCAAAAGTCTACTTTCCCGCAGAATACTGTAAATGACTAACGGCATTGTTCGCGGGACCTAGTTTTCGAGAATTGTAGGCGATTGGCGAAAATTAGGACTTCTCGAAAATTAAGTAGTTTACAGTATTCAGAGCGCCAATCATTGTAATCTGCGAAGAGACTACGGCGATTGACGAGACTGAAAATATGTTAATTTCATCCGCCATGCTCAATGTGGCGCCATCTATCTTATTTGGTGGCAACTAAGGCTGTCAACCAGAACGCGACCCCCAACAAGGCGACCACACCAGCCCATTAAGAGACTCTCGGCCCTAAAGCAGTTTTCGGCCGTTATGCCCTATTCGGCCTCAAAGCCACCCCCAGCCCTTTCGCCCCTCTCGGCCTTAATGCACTCTCGGCCGTAATGCGACTATCGGCCTTAGCAAGATGCTCCCAGCTCAGCACGCGTTTTCTACTTTTCCAACCCCAGCGCATGGCTATGATTAACGTTGGCGGCATAGAATAGGCACCAGGTCACGTGGCCGCTTGTTCTGGATCCGGGTTGAGGGGATCAACGATGGTCATATTTCTCGAATTTTTTTTTTGGCGACTGCCATTGCGTAGAAAGAACAACTAAGGCAAGTTTATTCAGGTTTTAGCGTTAGGAAATGATTCTAAGTAGCATTTAGGAAAGTATGAACTCAGCGTGAGTCCTGTGCTTTGCCGACCCCAGCGCGTGGCTATGATAAACATGGGCGGCTCCAGGTCACGTGGCCGCTTGTTCTTGCTGCGAGTTGAAGAGGTACACGCTGCTCGTTTTTCTCAAGTTTTTTTTTTTTTTTCTGCGATTGCCATTGCGTCGAGAAGAAACAAATACGTGTTTTATGTTACAATTCATGAATGCCCAGGTAAGCGGTATTTACTGAAAGCACAAAAATTGTTGCAGTGCCCCTTTAACATGTATGAGTGAATGCAAGAACAAGTACACACTCACGCTCAATGAACTGAATCTGCTGGTGCACGAGCATCTGGTCGATGAGCTGCAGGTACTCGAGGCCGGGTGGACACTGCCGCCGCTCGACGGACCCCCGCGACGGAGCCGAGGTCATCGGACCCGCTGCGAGTTCCGGGGCCAGCCTTGGGGCCAGCGTTCGGGTTGTAGGCAAAAACGAAAAAGGCCAACGAAGTGCGCGAATAATAGACGTCCTCTACCTCGTAGGGTGGAAGAGCAATCCAGTCAATCAGTCAAATTCAAACATACTTTCGGCGCGGCGGTCGCTATTTTGAACGGCGGAACTGCCCCTATATATCACTCCATGTACAGTCAGTGCATCTTTACAGCCTACCAAACGCTCGTTCGCTGGCTCGAAATGTAAGCAAGGGCCGCCCTATATGCACAAACTTTCAAGATGGCACCTGCCAGAAGCTCAGACGATTGCAAGCGGGGCATCTTGCCACCGCCATGTCCCTGCTCGTGCGGGCTTGTGCGTGCAATTACAAGCTTGACAAAGCTACGTTCACGCGCACGCTGCGCATGCTTCCGGGCAGGGTGCACCAGTGAGGCGTCCTGCTTGCAATAGACCTTTTGCTGAACTCCCCAAGCACCAAGGACTATACTTCGAGTGTAGTTACACGCGCTGCGCGTGCTGGGGTCAGCAGTAGTAACTTTTCTAAAGGAAATGCGTAAAACAAATGACATCTTGCACTGCGCGTTCGTCAACTCTTTATTTTGGTGTTATACTTCGAATCTTTTATACGGAAAAGGCGAGCGCGTGTGGCGCGTGTACATACATTCCCAGCATTGTACTTGATGCTTGGGTAATTTAGCAATGAGCATTTGGACTGTAATCGTGTTTCATGTGTACTTCTTGTTTGGCTAGCTAACTTGAAGTGAATGTAAGGGCGCAAACGAGCTGGTTTAAATTGAACACGATATAAACCCCGGGACTGCAGGTAAAAACGACAGAAGCATTAAAAGATATCGAGGTCTTTTAGTGCTTGTCCTTTTTACCTGCAGTCTCGCGGTTTATGTCATGGGCGTAGTAACCCTGCAGCGAGGGGAGAGAAAAGGGGACGGACAGACACGAAACTCCGAACACAGGGTTACTATGTCTATCCTCAACCAGCTGGCCTGCCTACTTGCTTTAACTTCATTCATGTCATGTTAGCTAACTTATATTTGTTGAATTATTCGTGCTTAATTTTTCTTTCTATTTTTTTTTTAGTCGACTATATTTCTTTTATTAGAACCACTTGGCTGGTGGACGAGAGTAAACATAAAAATATCTATACAATGTCGATATAAAAGACGCAAGAATAAGCTGTGAAAACATCGTCCTCGTTTCTGTTTTCTCATTTCGTTATTATTTCTGTTTATGTTAAATTTTTTAATAACAGTAGGTTGACCAGACGCCCCGTTTCGGGCGGGACAGTCCCGTTTTAGAAGTTCATTTACACCGTGCCGTCATTTTGCCTCGAAAAAGCCGAATGTCCCGTTTTCGCGGGAACATGCAGTTGGAAAATAGGAACTAAGCGAATGAAAGAAAATCGAAAGAATTTTTATTCCCCAGAGACGTAATTTTGTCAAAATAAATGTTAATAAATGTTACCTACCATCAGGGCTGCCAACCCGAGAACTTTTCCAGATTAAGGCAATATTCGGGTCTATGTGGGAATAAGGCAAATCTTGCTAGTTTAAGGGAAAGTTTGGGCACTATATATATATATATGAAAATTTATAAATCAACGAGTTTTTTTTTTTCTTTTAGATAACATTGAATTTCTGCGGCTTTGACTACATTTGGAGTATTCCCTCCATTCGTTTGGTGGTTTGTTGTGCGACCATGTGGCAACACTAAGGAGCAGTGAAGCAACTTTTTCGGCAGAATCAGTTTTCATCGCCTGGTGAAAACTATGGAGGAAGGCACCAGCAAACTCTAAGCTTCTAAGAGTACCGCTGTGCCTTCTCGAAAAAGAAAACTTGAGTACAAGCAGAAATACTGCGATGTCTCGAGATACACACTCACCATGTCCAAGATACCCACTTAGGGGGGATCGGTGGCCGAGTGGTCTAGCGCACACCAGCTCGGAGCACGTGGAGCGAAAGCTCGCACTGCCAGAACCCAGGGATCCTGGGTTCGAGCCCCACCCCTGCCCGTTTCGATCTGGATGAGCATCGTACCGGCGTGCGGTCGTGTATCACTACTGCGTGATGCACGTTAAAGACACCAGGCTAGCGGCTGTACCGCACTGGCTAAATTTCTCATCTACAGCTGGGAGACTCGTCGCCCCTGTGAGGCAGACCAAGTTCTAGGCTGTATAAACAAACACACAACCCAATTTTTTTGATACCCACTTACCATGACGAACAATATTTTGTGAAGTGCCGTGCACGAAATTGTGCTTACTGCGTGTCGTGTCCTTTGTGATCGAGTTTGAGAACTCTAGCTTGTGCCTCTGCTGCCAGCGAATCTGCTCTTTCATTTCCGGGTATATCTACATGTGATGGGATCCATTGAAACCAGATGGTTGTTTCCTGTTTTGCAGGGCGCCTGGTCAAATTCGCGATAGATCTGGCTAGTGGGCACGCTTTTTCCAGGCATATTAGTTGTTGTAAGGCGCCTCGAGAGTCCGAGAAGATGGCGATGTTGGAAAGGTTGGTGTGTCGTAGTTTGGGTAATTGCTAACCAAATGGCAGCAAGCTCTGCAGTGGTGGAATCAACGCAGATATCAATTCGTCCTTTACCGTGGTGTCCATCTTCAGGCGAGACATAGGCTGCAGTGCACGAGCTGTCTTTTACGCTTCCATCAGTATAAATGTGCGTCATGCCGGAGTAGGTATTTTCTATTGTCTCAACGGTGATGCTCCGCGCTACCACCTCAGAAGCCTCAGAAACGTGCTTGCGTCGGGGGCGGTCGGCTATCTCTGTTGAGACGTGGAGTTGACAGTCGTCCCGATAAGGGGGAAGTATCGGGCATGCATCCGTTGGGTAGCCGATAGTCTCGCGGAATGTTTTTACAGCCTTTCCAACCTGAGGGTGATGTCGTGTCATGAGGCGTTGAAGAAGTGGGTCCGAGGATGGAGCATCTGATAGACGGCTGACATAACTTAATGCTTTCTCCTGTGCTTGGAGCTGCAGTGGAGAATCTCCCGCCTCGGTCAAAGTTGGAGTGTTCTGTGCGGATTTAGGTAGCCCAAGGCAGAAACGGAGGGTCTTCCTGTGGAAGATTTCTAAATATTTCCATTGCGTATAATTTATATTTAAGAACGGCAAGGCGTAGAGGCGCATGGTCTCGGTTACAAAGGTAAGCTTCACCGTTTCTGAAGCTCCTAGCCTTTTGATTAGGAGGACTGGCGTAGTTGCGCTTATAGCCTTTTTGAGGTCACTTTCTGTGATGTCCCATGTCTACGTCACGAATGATTCCTACAACCGAAGATCGTGGGTGAGCTTCGTAGGTCTGGACTTTGATCCCTAATAGGATTGTTAAAGTAAGGATCGTTCTCATGAAGCTGTCGACCCGCATGTCAATTGCAAGGAGGTTCAGTTTGTAGTTCGGTCGAATTTGAATCACTCCATGGGGAGTGATGAAATCCACCTCTTGAGATAGGGTTAGAGGGCTAAGCTTCGCGATGAGCTTTGTCGGGTCTTGGGGTTTGACGATGACCGACCGGTTCTCGCGATGGGCATCAATGATGGTGGCTTGACTTGAAGCAGAACCCCCGGAGAGGTGGCGTCGCTTCCTACAGTTGAGGGTCCAACCGGAACCCTCTTTTTCTGCGTCATCTATATCATTGTTATCGAAACTCTCAGAGCCGGGCGTGGATTCGATCATGGTTGCGTCGCTCGGGGTACGGGCTTCGTTCAGGGTGACTGCCCAAGAGGTTTTGCGAACGCTGCCAGGGGGGTTGTAGTTTTAATTACCAAAACAATAGTAAAAAACTGATTTACTTGCAGAGGCGAGGAATCAAGCATCCGTTTAGGTGCGTCGTCGTCGTCGTCCCTCTCGCGTTACAGAGATTTGTAAACGTTTCGTTTGACTATATTCTTTTGACTATTAGCCCCGTGCGCGACCGAAAGCGTCGCTGTGGTCGGCCTTCCACGATTGGCCGAACGCTGCTTATGACGTCGGAAAGGGGATTTATCATCGACGGAAATAAGAGGAATGAAAGAACTTTAATTTTGACGGTGTTGGCAGTGTTGCTTTAAGAGATCAATGATTTCAAGCTTCCACCATGCTATTTACAAACACCATCGAACTTGTTGGCAAGGTAATGACGTCTCAAGGGGGAACCGTAGGAGGGCGCCACCACAACGTCCCGCCGCTAATATTCGGTGGCAAGTTAAGAGTTTAGGGCGAGGAAAAGAGCGGCTGGAGAAGAGCAAGCAGGCGGAATGGTGGAGAGAGGAAGATGTTTCCTCCTCTGCTGTCCAACAATCCATTTGCTTCCCCTCCCCAACCTTTATTTTCCTCGCCCTGAACTCTTAAAGGGCCTCTGACACGCCAAAAAAAAAAATTTTTTTTTCATGCTAGGCGTTGAAATGGCATGTCAGGAAGTTACCAAAAAAATTTTTTCACTATAGAGGTGCGTAGTATTTTCATAAACAATAGAAATACGAGGCCCAATTCAAAGTTCCCGCCAGTGCACTGTGACGTAACAGTGTACTGCAAGGTGTCGGGGCGGTCAGAAGGGTGGCATCGCCGGAAGTCACGTGAGTTGTATCCCTCCTCGTGCTTACTGCGAGCGCGTGTAATATTTTTTTTTTAATATTTTTGTTATTCTCCGCACCTTCACGAGCGATCCAAGCAGACAAGGTTTCTTTTATTTGCTTTTCATCGCTTAATGTTGCTGTAAAGGTAGAAGAAGAGGAGTCAGTGAATTGACGTGATCAACTACAATGCCTAGAAGGTGCTGTGTGAGGGACTGTCCCGGTATTTCAGCAACTGAAGAAGAGATCACACTGCATGCATTTCCGAGAGACGGCAGGCATCTTCAGCCTGGAGAGTATACGATGATTCGACGACCTCGGTGTCCGAACCTTCTGCAATGCAATTGGGCGTGTCGTACGCTAGCAATCCTAATTTTTGCGAACGTTCTATTTTTTTTTTT